AACAAATATGCAGAAATGATATAGATTGTTAATGTTTTTCAGTGAACTCCAGCATGGGAAAATGATAAATATATGAACTAACAATTACACAGATTATAAAGTAAATCTCTAAAAATAATGGGTTAAAATCATGTGTTATTACTATATAGGGGAAAAAGCAAACCTACAGAACTAAAGGAGTGGGAAACATTTAAGTGCTTCTCTCATGCCAGGAAATAGGTTATTTTGCATACATTATCTCATGCAATCCTCACAAAAACCCCGTGTTGGGCCTTATCATCAACGTTTTATAGAGGAGCAAATGGAAGCTCCAAAACATTAAGCAACCTGGGGTTCCCAAGTTGCAGCAGTGACTTAGCTCCCACATACGACTAAAGAGGCCAGGGAGGTGGCGCAGCCCTCAGGGCAGTTCCACGTAGGTCTTCCACTTGGTCATGGGTACTAAAACTGAAGCCATCATCCACACTGAATTCCCAAAGCCGCTTTGCCCAGAACTCGGATGGTCACCTGGTGTCTCTCCCGATCACTACGAAGGCGTCTTGCTGCAGGTTCACGGCTGCCTTCTCGCTGATGTCCGTCAACACCCTCCGCACATCTTGTTCCTCAGCGTTTGCCAAACAGGTAGCATGCTCCTCCCAGGATGGTGCCAACATCTCACCCAAAGGATCAACCAATTTTACACCATTGTCTTCCTTAAAAGAAAAACAAACAATAAGCCATCTATGCATATTCACGAGGGTGAGCTGAGGAAGTAAACTCAAGTTGTTTTTCCTCCCAAAAAAGACAGTGAGGGCTGAGCAGCTTCACTGGTGACCACCGCGGAACGCCAGGCACCGGACAGCAGGCGTTTTGTACACATTACCTCAGTAAATCCTCAAGACACACACATCAATCTAACTGCTAATCCTGTTATCACTCCAGTCTTACTTTGAGAAAACGGAGATTCAAAGCAAGTACTGTGCTCATGTTGATACAGCTAATAAGTGTCAGTACTGATATTAAAACTTCAAGTCTATCTGACTCTTAAACCCAACGCCACTACGCGACCCCAGCTTTTTCAAAAGGCTGTCCTCTGTGCATTCACGGTCCATTAACTGACGAGGATACACCTGGAGCAGGAGGGCACCTAGAGATCCTTCTCGTCATGACTCTGGACTCTAAGAACACGCGGCCAGTGTGTCAACCAGTGGGTGGCACGGAAGCCGAAAACTGAGTCCCAACTTTGTTCTGCTCACGTTTATGGAAAGAAAGAAAGTGTAGTTCAGAGTGAATGTCAACTGAAGGAAACAGCTCAAAATTGTTTTAAGAAGTGGTTCTGGGCCTAGCAATAAATGTCGTAAATGAATTACGGCAATGTGGACACTTCCACACTTACGCATTCACAGTGATCCACAGTTAGAAGTCGGACAAGCAACGTCATCCTCCTGCCTAGGGGAACAGGGAGGTACAATCCTTCACTGACCTACATAGCATTAACTTGCTACTGATTTAGCTACAAAGGCAAAACTCTCATGCCCTAGTAACCAAACAGAAGCGTATTATTCACACCGTGTTATTAGGGTTACAGGCAGTACAGAAGAGTTAAACTGTGTCAAAAGGAAGACTTTGACAAAAAACTTAATTGTCATAAACACTAGAACCATCAAGCCTCATCAATATTCTGCCCAAAGCTCACTTTTGGATTCCTGCAGCCACATGTTTGGCTGTTCATCCAGAACAGGAAACTATTCCCTAGCTACAGAAAACCTGTCTGAAAACTTTTAAGATGTGCTAAGTCTTTTCAAATATTTGCCCTTCCCCCCACTTTGCCTCCAACCTCCTTAATCTCTGCTAAATTAATAGAGGTAACACTTCTTATTACTGATACTGTCTCAATACAAGCAACTTGGAAGGACATTCTGTTATTTCTCTAATATGGCCAGTCTCCAAAAACTGACAGTCTCCTTTCATGCTCTCCACACTCTGTAAAGAGTCAGGAGCTAAATGACCATTCATTAAGAAAAAGTTGTTTCAAATCCAAAGGCATATAACCACGAGAAGGCACATTCCCAGAATTAGAATTCGTACTTTGGGTCAAACTGCTCAGATACTAAGATTGGTCTGGTAAACAAGGGCTGCTTTATCAGAGCACTAAAGGCATTACCTCAGGGTTGTGTGATGCTGTTACCATGACTCCTATCGTAGATTTTGTCTGTTTTGACCTCAGGACAGCTAATAATCCCATGCGAAACATGACATGATCAAGATGTTCTGCTTTCGTCCGAAATCCAGCAGTCCCATATTGGAGAATGAGTCCATTGGGCTTGGGGTGTAATGCTGAGTGTTTTGTAACAGCATCTAAATCCATGTCTACAAAATTAAGGAATATTTTTCTGGCATAAGAAGAAATCTTTCAAGGACCATTTGCTTCAAAAACTGCCACCCCAAACTAATAGGTCTGCCTTATTCTGACCCTCCCCAAAGAGCTGTATGTTTGAGAGAGAAGAGAACGGTAGAATAAGTCCTGGGGGTTAGCATTACCTAGAAGATCCTGCCCAACTTGTCCACTCCGGGGCAAATTCAAGGCAGAAATCAGATTGTCCCCAACTCATCTCCCATTTTGGCTGCAGGGCTATTCCTGGACCCAGAGCGAAGTTAAAATGGCCCACTCTCAACTAAAATGAAGATTCCACACGTAGATTCAGAAACTCGACAGATCAAAGAGCACCTCATTTTACAAACAGGAAAACTTCAGCCAGGGCCTCAGTTAAATAACCTAAATTTACATGGGTAGCTGGTGACAAACTGAGGCCTAAAATCATATTCTCAATGGAATGGATTACGAATCCAAAAGATCTGGGAAATCTGTGTAGTTCTTTGCTATTCCTCCCAGGCTACAGAGACATATTCCCAAAGGAAAAGCAAAGGACAACAGCCTCCTCTCCAAGACTGCCCCGGCTTCCTAACACACCTTCAGGGGATTGTTCTCTTTTCAGAAGGATCAGGACACCCTTCTAAATTGAGCTCTGAAACTAGCAACACCTTCCTTTTACTTTTAATTTTAAAAGTCAAACATGGGCCCTTAGCCCACTAGTACTTCCTTCTCTGGGAGACTCCAATTTTAAGTGGAACTTCCAACCTCTGCTGTATGTACTATCTGCTTCCTGGGTCAGCCCCATTCCCAAGTAGCCCAGAGAGGAGCAGCAGGCCCACGGCTACTAGCCTCACTATCTTGTTTTCTTTACTGTCCTTCATTGCTTCAATGAACAAAAGTTAAAGGAAATGATGAAAAATGTTTGCTCTTATCCAGGTGGAAAAGCTGGCATTCAGCAAGCTAGTTTAGTTCAGCCCAAAGTGATCAAATCTCTTTCACAAGCATGAACACATTTTATTACAAACTGACCGGTCGGTAATACATCACGATTATTCATAAGGGCGTAAACCAGTCCTGTTAAATCCAGAAAGTCTTTTAAAAAAGAAAATAAGATAAAATGCTTCCACCTTTTAATGCGTTTTAGGTCCTAAAACTACTTTCAATGACTATGAGAAGGATTTTATTAAAAATATTTCCAAGTCCAAACAGTTTCCACTCTAAATAATGAAGAGTATCCCCCGCTTCCCTCCATCCACTCTTCAACACCGCGCTTGTTCCTCTCTCCTCCCAGCCGCTAACCGCCACACGTCTCCTGTCACTCAGCCCTAGGCCCGCGCCCAGGCCGGGGACTGGACCGCCCAGCACGAGACCCTCCGCCCGGCCGGCCCCACCGGCCGGCTCCGGAGGCGCACTGGTGGAGGGTGTGCCCGGCGGGCGGCCGGGGGCCAGTCCGCTAGCCTGCCCGCCAGCCCGTTGTCGGTCGCACCCCTGCAGGCCAGAACGTCCCCTTCTCGCCGCCAAGCCTCGGGGCCCGCTCACCTCTGCCCGAGACTCCGCGCTACCTCCACCACGCGCAGCTGCCCCCGGCGGCGACTGGACCCAGACTGGAGCTCTCGGAACCCGCAGACGTGGCCCTGCGTGGCTTCCGGCCCGTCGCCACGCCCCTCAGCCAATCACGGCGGGGGAGGGTCCGCTGGCCCCGCCCCACCTCCTCGCCGGTCTCGCGGGTCTCGCGCCTACGGAACTGCGGATCCGGGCTCTGAGCGGGCTCCGGGCAGCTGCCACTGAGTGACCGGGAAGGGTGAGGCCCCCGCGGGGCCCGGGGTTGGGGCCGAGGGTCGTGGGCCGTCAGAGTACTGCGACCGGCAAATACACAACCCCCGCCTCCACCTTTGGGACTCAGGGGTGGCAGGCCCCGCCTTGGGAACCCTGGGAAGCCAGGGTTCCTAGTGGTCCTGGAGAGGGGGGTACCAGCCCCCTGTAGGGGCCTCGGCCACGGTGAGTGTCGCCCGCCTTCCCGCATCCCCTCTCCTCATCCACCTCTCGATTCTCAAGGTTCGTCTCTCCAGTCCTGGACTCCGGGAACTTCTCAGGCCGCCGCTCCCTCGCATCTCCCCATCCCAGCTCTCATTAAACGTCATTTTATTTATTTACCTGTAAGACCCCCCCTAAGCCTGGGCTCCTGGGGACAGAGGCAAGGTGGCTCCAAACCATCCGGAACTCCCAGGATGCCGCGCCGGGCCGGTGTGGCTCCCAGGAGAGGCGGAAAGGTCCACCCGGGAGAGGTCCTTGGCGCTGGGGTCAAGGGGCTACAACTGGCGTTGGGGACGCGAGGCCTCGAGACCCCGGAGCCGGGCACCCGGAGCTCCGCCCGCCGGCACTGCGGGCCTCCCCGCCGCAGCGTCCAGCTCCGCCCGAGCCTGCGACCCGGTGGGATTCGGAACCCGGGCCCCTTGCCTGTCCCAGGGTTCAGGCTTGCAGAGCGTCTGCAGGTGTGGCTTGCCAACCACCTGCAACGGAATAATTCGGAACACTTGTTGGAAGACCAGATTCCTGGCTCTGGATGGGAAGCGGGGGTGGGGGGAAAGGGACTGGGAATCTGAATTTTAACGAAGTCTCTTGGGGGATCTTGTGCATACTAGATCTGGGGGTCAGGAGATAAAGCAGAAGCTGGTAAGTGTCCCGGTTTGTGCCCCTAGCTCTCGGTGCACAGCGTTCCTGCGAAACTGCTTCCACGGAAAGGGACCTGCAGGAAATTTCTCTGGACGCTGCTGACACTGACAGACCCGGTGCCCCTGGGCCTTTCCAGTTTTCCTGGCAGGTTGATTTCGAGGCAACATGTCCGCTTCAATGAAGGAATGCCTTCAGCTTCAGCTGCTAGAGATGGAAATGCTGTTTTCTATGTTTCCTAACCAAGGAGAAGTAAAACTTGAAGATGTAAATGCCCTGACCAATATAAAGAGATATTTGGAAGGCACAAGGGAGGCGCTGCCCCCCAAAATTGAATTCGTGATTACACTGCAGATTGAGGAGCCCAAGGTAAGCTCCCTGAGTTGTTCTAATCGTTGCCAGGTGCCCAGTTTTTATTGGGAACTCTTGGAACATGAGCTTCCTGTCCAGGAAACAACAGAGTATTCCAGATGCATATTTCCTTTACTTGTTTGAAAGCAAAATATAGGATGCCCTGTAAATTGTCTTCAATAAATATCCTTATTTTTACATAAATATGCACACCTTTTTAACAAATTTGCCTAGTGTTTTTATTAAAAACATCTTGCAATCTTATACTACCATTATCATTCTGTTCACTCATCCAGTTTTTTACCAATCCCATTATTGTGGTATGGACTATCTTGTATCATGATTTTCACAAATCTAAATATTGCCTTTAGCACAACAGCCTTTTAAGGAGTGAATAGCTGTTTCTTTGGTGGTGCTATGACACAGAAAGCAAATACGGTTGGAAAATCTAGATACTAGAAATGAATTTACTTCCATCTTCTGATCCATTTCTCTCCAGCAGCGTTAGCACAGCATAGGTAACAAGTGGATGAGGCGTTTGAGAACCACTCTTCTAACTGTCTCCTACTCATCTCTCAGTTGTCATTCCCTCACAGACTTCCTGGTTCCCCAGACTGGATTCAGTCCCTCTGGTTACACATTTCAGTGGATCCCTATACTTTTCATGGCAATGCCTCTCACCATTGAAATTAAATACTTGCCGTGTGTAAGTTGTTTAATGTCTGTCTCCTTCACTAGGCTCTAGACTTCATGAAGGGCAGAAATAGTGTCTAGCGTCTTCACTTCTTTATTCCAGCATGGGGTACCGGTACATGGTAGGTGGTCGATAAAGACTGGATAATTGGAAGGAATAGTGTATGTAAAATACTTAGTACAGTGTCTGGCACATAGCTGACGCTTAGTAGCAATAACTCTTACATTTATCAAAATCATGCAGTTGCCATTGAAACACTAGCTTGTGTGATGCTACGGCACTTAAATCTATTTGATTTTCATTTTAAGGTGAAAATTGATTTGCAAGTAACCATGCCTCACAGCTACCCCTATGCAGCATTGCAGCTGTTTGGACGGTCATCTGAACTTGACAGACAACAGCAGCTCCTTCTCAACAAAGGTCTCACTTCTTATATTGGGACTTTTGATCCAGGTGAGCTCTGCGTCTGTGCAGCAATCCAGTGGTTACAGGACAACAGTGCCTCCTATTTCCTGAACAGAAAGCTCGTCTACGAACCGTCTACACAAGCAAAACCAGTCAAGAACACATTCCTTCGAATGTGGATCTACAGTCACCATATATATCAGCAGGATCTACGGAAAAAGATTTTGGATGTGGGGAAAAGGTTAGATGTGACTGGATTTTGCATGACAGGAAAGCCTGGTATAATCTGTGTGGAGGGCCTCAAGGAGCCCTGTGAGGAATTCTGGCACACCATTAGGTATCCCAACTGGAAACACATTTCCTGTAAGCATGCCGAAAGCATCGAAACGGAAGGAAATGGGGAGAACCTGCGCCTCTTCCATTCCTTTGAAGAATTACTGCTTGAGGCCCATGGGGACTATGGATTAAGGAATGACTATCACATGAATCTAGGCCAGTTTTTAGAATTTCTCAAAAAACACAAAAGTGAGCATGTTTTCCAGATATTATTTGGTATTGAAAGCAAAAGTTCAGACTCCTAGGAAGCTTTTAAGAAGCTTATGCTTGTAATTTCACTAAGTCAGTGTTAATAAGACCAAAATAAAAGGGCCGGTGTCTGGTCAGCATCCTCCGTGAGAAACCTAGCTCCAGAATTTTCACCTGGTAGTGAAACACACAGGCCTTTCAACTTTATAACAGTGCAGTTTTCATGTTACCTCTATGTTCTTGTGTTGAGAACTATTTAATTGTAAATTAATAAAAAGCAGTCAATTGAACCAGTGAAGTTGCTTTGATTCAAGAGTCGAGTCCGAAGCCCAGCGTCCCCGTCAGCAGTCAGACTGCAGCTCTGAACTCATACACCTGAGTCATGTTTCTCCTCTCCAGATTGCCCACTGGTTTGTTTCTCCCTCTCATGGTGCTGCGCACAGGTGGCACCCACACTGTCTGTCCTTTGTTGGAGAGGAATTCTAGATCAAGTTTAAAATGAGAACAGACAGCACATGTTCACTACATTTCTTACTTTAAGTTAAACCCCTAGTTTGAGTTTTTTCCTTTAGTAAAACTAGATCCTGACTGTAGTGGCAGAGGAATCTTAGTAGTGAAGTTTCGAGAGTAATGAAGATGACACACAATGAATGCTCTGTGGTCTCTGGCTGGCTGTTGTATCAGCTGATTAATGATACTAAGGATAATGACACCAATACCCTTAGCTCAGGTCTTATCCACAGACAGACATGGTTTCTTGTCCACAAAGTGTGGCACAGGTAACGCACACTGGCCGCCCTGCCCCGTGCTCGTGTGCATTGCTGTTGAGGGCAAGACTGCTGAGAGGGCGGGGGCGGCTCTGCACCATCACCTTACTGGGGGAAAGTCAAGCTCTGCATTGTGATAAGTCACTGACGTCTCTGCTGAATAGTCCAAGGTCCACAGGCCTCACCAGCCTTTTTCAAAATCAGAGTTTGTTTTAATGATAAAAACCCCTGTTTAAGTAGCTCTTTGAGACCTTTTCATTACAAAGTATAGACCCCTCCCTAAGAATTTCTGGGAGTCTCACCTGTGTTAAGGGATGTCATGAGCTGCTTCTCTGGTTTCCACCGTCTCTCTGTAGCTACTCCTGCCCATTCCTGGGGAGCATTTCATTCTCCTGGGTCCCAGGCACTGCACTGATGTCCCGGTCTCCTCAGGATGCCAAAGCTGGGTGGTAAGATCTAGTACCATGAGGGGACTGCCTCACTCTCCATTTTGTGATACATTCTGTTAGAAACTAAACATTGCTGCTGTGCTAGGGGAGCTTACAGAATTTTTTTTTTTTTTGAGGAAGATTGGCCCTGTGCTAACATCTGTTGCCAATCTTCTTTTTTTTCTATTTTCTCCCCAAAGCCCCAGTACATAGTTGTGTATCATAGTTGTAAAGTTGTAGCTCTTCTATGTGGGACACCGCCTCAGCATGGCTTGATGAGTGGTGAGTAGGTCCGCACCAGAAACTGGCGAATCCCGGACCGCCGAAGCAGAATGGGCAAACTTCAACTCTGCAACACCGGGCCGGCCCCCGGAATTCTTGATGAAACAGTACATTCTGGTGTTACTCTCTGTGTCTAGGATGCAGACACATGTCCCTGGGCTAGGGCGAGGACACAATGGAACAGCAGACCCTGTACTAAGCTGACTGCTGACTGTGAGGCCTTGGAACTGGGTCCACTTTGTCCTGCCTGCACTCTTCTGAGCTCAGAAGGAGTTTCCTTTCAGGGCACAACTCAGACCTTCAAGCCAAGGCTCTTCTTGGGCCTGCCTTGCCAGCTCATCCAGATTGCCCACTGGTGTTTTTTTGTTTTGCTTTTTGTTTCTTTGTTTGTTTTTGTGTGTGTGAGGAAGATCAGCCCTGAGCTAACATCCATGATAATCCTCCTCTTTTTGCTGAGGAAGACCGGCTCTGAGCTAACATCTATTGCCAATCCTCCTCCATTTTTTCCCCCCAAAGCCCCAGTAGATAGTTGTATGTCATAGTTGCACATCCTTCTCGTTGCTGTATGTGGGACGCAGCCTCAGCATGGCTGGAGAAGCGGTGCGTCCGTGCGCGCCTGGGATCCGAACCCGGGCCGCCAGTAGCGCAGCGCGTGCACTTAACGGCTAAGCCACGGGGTTGGCCCTGCCCACTGGTGTTTTAATCCTAGCCTTGGACATGGCTGGGACTCAAGCTGGGGCCTCGAACTTTACCTGTATACGAAGGGAAGAAATAGGATTTACACTGCCCAAGACTTTATCGGGACTGAAAACAACATAGTACAGGAGTCAATTTCCCACATAATCTCCCCAAGACCATCAGTAAATATAATTAGCATTCACAAGTTTTTAGGTCCTAAACAGACGTACTCCATTAACTTTTCTTCTTTTGAAATGAGACACTAATATGTGCCTAAACCACTCATAGAGGATTTTTTTCTATGATGAAATTAGCAAAAGTAGGGACAAAGCTAAAATATGGAACAAAAAATAGATTATTTACATAACTCAAATGAAGGGAATAAATTCTAGTTTATGAACTCTTTACTGCTTCTGGAGCTATTTCTGATGATAGTTTTTCAGAACTTACTTTTACGTGCATTTATGAACATGTATCAATACTTTTTTCCTATCAGAAGCACTAATAATAGACAATTATAGAAGTGTAGGTTTTATAGAAAAAATATGCATATATGATAATTCAAAGCCCAGCTTTGCATGGATAGCAGACTGCTAGTTTTGTTTGCCCAGCCTGACAGGAGCACTCACCACCCTCACACACACCACACTTACTCTGGGGAGCTGCCCTTTCTCTCTGTGGTTTGGGGGGAGAAGTGACTGGAATCCAGCTGCTCTCTGCAGCCTCCTGGAGAGATGGTTTTCAGCTCTCTTTGCTTAAATCCACAGTGCCACCCTCACTTCTGGCACACTGAATGTGAGGTTGTTGAACACCTCCACCAAGCTACCCAACGTCTGCCCTTGTTTTCTTGAAAGTCAGACTCAGTCTCTGTGGCTTGTAACTTAGGAGTCTTGATACTGCATACATTATATTTTTTAAATGGTTATTTGGAAACAAAGCTCATTATAAATGTTGCAGTGTCTTTTTAAAACTCCCTGAATTAAATCAACATTTCTTCAAGTATGTTGTTCGCTTTTCATTCCTTGTTGGTCTACCGTATGTTAGGCTAAGGCCTGGGATACTTGCATAGGACTGAGGAGTGGGCCAGTTCAGCTGACGGATCATAACACAAGGACCTCTAAAACATCCCTATATTAAATCAGAAGTATGTTTCCTGTGAACTTGAGTTTCCACGTATGACTGCTTACATGCCATCCATCACTCTGAGAACTTGAGACAGCTCTGAGGGAGCCTATCTGAGATCTTCACAGAACCCTTTTGAACAAGATGACAATTTTATCTCATTTGCTTTTACCTCAAGTAGCCCAGTAGTAAGTTGAAAGAATAGGTATTTTCTCAAGAGGGCAGGGTTCGCTCAAAAATCCTGGTTTTATATAGAATCCTGATTTGTGTCAAAACTCTGAGCCCGTTGTTTACAACTCATGAGGTCCACTTGGTAGAACTACTTTCATTGCAGCCTGGACCAGCTGTAGAGGCTTCTTTTTTTCTAAGCCCAGTTAAAGCTACAAGCATTTGGATCAACCCATAAATGGGTTTGAGCAGCAGACACAAAATTCAATGAAGCCCACCAAACACTGATGGTCTTTCTTAGTTGTAGGTGGGACAAAGTACACAATTTGTTCTTCACTATGGAGGGGACATTCCAGCATATACACTGGACTTCCACAAACCTGGCTGAGATGGCAGGCTCTTGTGCTTTCCTGGGATTTATCTTCTACCCTCTTTGCTCCAGGTCCTCTGAGCATATCATCCTCAGTGTGTTAGAGCAGCATGATGCCCTGTACAAGGGTGAGGTGACCAAAGTCTGGTATCAAGAGTTATATTCAGGCGCAGAGTCAGAGTTAATGGAACATTGAAAAAACACAATCTGTAATATTGCTCATTGATAACACAAGCTGTGTCAGGTGCCCTCTACTTACTGGGATAAAGGAAAAAGAAAAAAGCATCGGCCAAACTAATAGCTACCTACTGATTTGCTCCAAGAAAGAGAACGTGTGTGACAGCAGCTGCAGTGGGAATCACCATTTGATTAAGTTAATGAATATATGCTGTCATTCTTAAAGACCCCTCTGTCTCCTGCACATACCAAAGATCATGTTAGGTCAAGATGTGATAAGAATCACACCTCTGCTGCTTTTAAAGCTGGGATTTACCTCTGCAAATCATTTGATACTTCCTACCAGAATAACTCTTTTTTTATGCCTCAGGGATCCAATGTGAGGATATTGCTATTGATGAAAAAATCAATTCTAACTCTTCACCCGGAAAATAGCTAGAGGATGGATTCATTCCATAGCACACACTTTGTCCCGTAGACCAGACTGGTTTCAGAGACCCCAGAAATTTGTATTTGTTCAGAGCTGTTGCCAAATGATTTCCAAAAGGCCTAGTGGTTTCAATGCATTGTTATCCTAGTAAATGGAGCCTCAAAGGAAGATTTTAGAAATACATTTATGATATTATGGAGTTCTCCACCATAGGGGTCTTTCATTCATATCTATGCATGGCAGCTGGGTGAGGGCCTGGACACTCTATCTTGGTGGCTCTAGTCAGACTTTTCTGCTGATATTGTTATGCATATCAAGTAGGCCCTACCTGTGTTGCCCACATTTGTGGTCCTAAACCTAGCTGATATTGGGCGGATATACACCCATGTTGCTGTATCAGTTGTATACACTGCCAACCATTTTTCTCGGTCAAGACCTGTGCTGTTCTGGTAAAATTTTTCAACATCATTTCAGGCCCTGGGACCCTGTGATTTACTGGCCACCACCAAAGATTTTTGTAGGCCAAACTATTCTGATTACAGTGGACCTGCTTCCTATTATGATAACTGTTTCCACCTTGTCCCTAGTTGTCAATTACTTCAAAGTGCTGCTATTAAGCCTCTATCAACTCCAAGATTCTGATGTCTCTGTTGAAATAGGCAGCCCATTTTAACCACAGCATTTCCCACAAGCCTCCCAGCTTTCAGAGAAGAGTCATTAAAGTGCTTTTCATGTCCTCAACAAAATATTAGCAAACCAAATTCAACAATACATTAAAAGGATCATACACCATGATCAAGTGGGATTTATTCCAGGGATTAAAGGATGGTACAACGTCAGAAAATCAATCAATATGTGATACATC